TCTTATTCCCTCTTTCTGCAAATGACCAGGATGCAAACCAAAAGCAGGGCTGACTTTAGGTCCTGCTTGCCTGTAAGGTGGCCACAGCTCACTTGTTTAACTTTTCTCTGGATTAAAAACAGTAACAATAAAGGGTTATAGCTTACAATTGTTCCAAGTTATGGGATGATTCCATGTGCTAACTAATTTACGTTTTTATTTGTGATTCTTGGAATGACCAAAGAGACAGATTTTGTGTTCTGTTTATTGTGTTTTCTTAGTGTCTCTGTTAAGTTCTGATTATTGAAAAGCAGCTAAATTTTTTATAAAATCCTACAGGTGCTTTCTAAACTACTGTGTAGAATAGGCAAGTGCCTCTTACTGTTGGTTAATGAGTTCATAATTGTAAACATGGCTATTTGAAGTCATTTATTACCCACAGTTTTGTATATCAGATTTACTGCTCATGGAAGTTAAAACATTGTTGTTTCTGTGTTTAAATGTGTCCTCTTAGGTTCCAAAGGACTTCTTTTTCCCTGACCTCCATTGTATCCAATACCTTGGGACAGTTTTTGTAAGCAGATAACACCAATAATATACTACAGATTCCAACTTAGAAAAACTATGGTTCATTCAGATTACTAAGAGCAGAAAGGAATTCTAAATGATTGATGGTAACTAAAACAACAGATTTTAAGAAACTATTGCTGAAACTGCTTTATTGTTCTATCTCGTATAGGTCTGGGCCTCCTAGCTGGCAAGGCCTTAAAGCCCACCTGATGATTATCAAGGCCCCTGTCAGTTTCTATTTGCCTCTCAGTGGGAAAGCCTGCTCATGGTTTAGACAGCACCTTTCTTAGGTCTTCTAGTAATGACTCTGTCCTTTGTTTTAGACCCTGTCTAGCCCTCTAGGGGCCTCATTCCTTTGTAAACATTCCCTCCACTCTTACATCACTGGCTCTTCTTCCAGCCAGTGTGTATTGGTGGTCCTCTCCCCCTTTTAACATTGTAGGGTTGCTCAGAATTCTTTCTCTAGACAAACCCCTCTCCCCACAAGAGGCGAACGGCCTTTCTTGCAGTCTTGGTCGGGATCAGCTTCTTGGCCTGCCTCTCCTGAGCAGGGATCAGGAACAGCTTTGGGCCACAACGTTGTCTCCACCAACCAACTCCAAAACAACTCCCACAGTCACAAGAGGAGGTCACTAGGTCCCCTGAGACCTCAGCTGACGCCATCCAAGGACTCAACAACAGGTATGGTACCACAGAACAGACCACTTACCTTATAACAACAAAAATAAGGGCAGAAGGATGAGAAACTTGTGTTTTCTGGAAGAATAACATTACCATTACGTTAATCAATCAGGCCAGGTAGAGGAAAATGTTAAAACACTCCAACAAACTGCCACATCTGTTAAACAACGTGCCCTAGGGTCCAAAAACCCCTCCCTCCCCATGAAGCCCTCGCATCACTTGGGTAATGCTGCTCCTGGGACCACTGGCTGCTTTTCTCACCCTGGCTTTTATACTACTTGCCTGTTTACGTGTTTACAGGAGTTGATAATGGAACAAACCAAAGCCTTCACCAACCAGGCAGTTAACCAAATGCTACCACAGGGATATACTCAACTCCCACCCAGGAGATCATGGCTTGAGATGTCACCCCATCAGTGGAGAATGACTCGTCACCCCACGTCAGCAGGAAGTAGCTCTAGAAGACACATCATTGTCCCTCAACCTCTCCTGGGCTTTTAGGGTTGACATAATCACACACAACACTTGTTTTATAAAAAACAAAAGAGGAGGACGTTAATGAAATGGTGCCATCTTATATCAGGTGCCATCTTAAGCCCCAGGCACCATCTTAGGCTCTGGCCCAGCTGCCATCTTGTAAAATAAGCTTCGATCTTAAGCCCCGCCTGGCTTACTGGAAGTCGAGTGACCAAATGGCACAACCACAAGCGTCAACTCTCTCACCCCCACTGCTTCCACTTCCCACCCCGCAAGGCTATAACAAGACCTGCTTTCCCACACACTCTCTCTTTTCGCTCTCTCACCCTCTCCCTCCAGCCTGTCAGTTTCCCCCCACCACCACAGTAAACCTTTTCCCTAATAATAAGTAAATAAATAAATAAAGGATTATAGCTATTTTAGTCCGTCTGAATAATGGGTAACTGTGTAGTTGTTAAAAATGGTGCTGGAATTCCTGTAGAATACTGGACCACAAAACTGTATATTTGTGAGGGAGGGGAAATGTATGTGCACACACATACACAATAACGTAGTGACTGATACACAAAAAGCTTACCACTAATCATCTCTAAGCCAGGGTTCTCTCAACTCTGGGTGCCTAACAAGGATGAAAACGTCTGTTTCCAGTGGTGAGATGATGGAAAATTTTAATTCTCTCTTTATGATTATCTGTACTTTCTTCATTAAATATACATTAGGTAAATTTTAAAATGCAAAAAAATGGAAACAGGCAAAAACAAGGCATTACAGCTCTCCTTGCAATGGCTTAAAAAGTGACAAAATAATAACATCCAAGGGTAGAGGAGGAGTTAAATATGATATGGCAGACTCATGCAGCACGATATTAACTAGCACTACAATTTCGTTTTGAAGAATGTGTGACACCATGGGATGCTCTCCTGATGTCACTCCAGGTTTTTCCTTTCTGCACACGGGCTGAAAGCTTAAGGAGATACATTTGCCAAACCCCATCATGGCTTGGGTCCCACAGTGACCCGGTTTCAGACAAGCAGAAGATTCCTCGGCCACTGCTTCTGCTACCAGCTCTCGGCCAGGGGTGTCCAGGGAGCTCAGGCTGACACCTGCTATTCTGTTCCAGGCAAGCAGCCTGCAAGACACTAAGCTTCTGAAATAAACCCCTTTCTGTGTAAAACAGAATTACACATAGGGGAAAGGTTTACCGTCATGTTTGTTAGTTTGTTTTCCTTCTAAAAAGTGAGGTACAAAAGTCTATCCAGAGGATTAACACTGCAATGTTGAAAAAGATTAACAACCCTATACAGAAAAAGACCAGAAGGAAATAAAACCAAAGTATAGCAGTGACTGTCTGTGCGCACTGAGCTCATGCGAGAGCTTTTTTCTCCTTTTGGATGTTTCTGTCAGTGCAACCATTATGGAAAGCAGTATGGCGAGTCTTAAAAAAACTAAAAATGGATCTCCCACGTGACCCAGCTATCCACTTCTGGGAATATATCCAAAGGAAATGAAGTCAGCACGTGAAGAGATCCCTGCACTTCCATGTTTACAGAATCCCAATTCACAATAGCAAAGACAGGGAATCAACCTAGATGTCCATCAACTGAGGACTGCATAAGGAAAATGTGATACACACACACACACACACACACACAAAACACCTGATGGAATATTTGTCAGGCCATAATAAAGAATGAAATCTTGGCCGGTGCCGCGGCTCAATAGGCTAATCCTCCGCCTGCAGTGCTGACACACCGGGTTCTAGTCCTGGTCGGGGCGCCGGTTCTGTCCCGGTTGCTCCTCTTCCAGTCCAGCTCTCTGCTGTGGCCCAGGAGTGCAGTGGAGGATGGCCCAAGTCCTTGGGTCCTGCACCCCATGGGAGATCAGGAGAAGCACCTGGCTCCTGGCTTCAGATCAGCACGGTGCGCCGGCCACAGTGCGCCAGCCGCAGCGGCCATTGAGGGGTGACCCAACGGAAAAGGAAGACCTTTCTCTCTGTCTGTCTCTCTCTCACTGTCCACTCTGCCTGTCACAAAAAAAAAAAAAAGGAATGAAATCCGAACATTTGTCATAAAATGGGTGGAACTACAGATCATTACACTAAATCAAATAAACCTAGAAAGACAAATACCCACATTTCTATAGACCTAGAAAGACAAATACCCATATTTCTATTTGTGGCAATTTATATATATATATATACACACACAATAAAATTGTGTGGATGTCATATTATTCTCTATGTTGTTAAAAATACTGATTTGATTAATTGTATCATATACATGACTAGATCTTTCTTCACTCTGATCATTGCCATGAATCTCATGTTTTGCAATATTAATATACCTGTATTCAAGAAAAGTGTATATATATATATATATATAAAATATCTACATATAAAGTGAATATGGCAAAATGTTAAAAACGGTTAGATCTAGGCCAGCGCCGCGGCTCACTAGGCTAATCCTCCACCTGCGGCGCCAGCACACTGGGTTCTAGTCCAGTCAGGGCGCCGGATTCTGTCCCGGTTGCTCCTCTTCCAGGCCAGCTCTCTGCTGTGGCCAGGGAGTGCAGTGGAGGATGGCCCAAGTGCTTGGGCCCTGCACCCCATGGGAGACCAGGAGAAGCATCTTCCCCTGGCTTTGGATCGGCGCGGCGCACCAGCCGCAGTGCACTGGCCACAGTGGCCACTGGGGGGTAAACCAACAGAAAATGGAAGACCTTTCTCTCTCTCTCTCTCTCACTATCCACTCTGCCTGTCAAAAAATAAAAATAAATAAATAAAAAAGCGGTTAGATCTTGACATTTAAAAAGTTTTAAAATTTTCTCCATTGACAGTATGAGGGATCTTCACTGGAAAATGCATGTTATGAAATAATTATGCATGGATTCCAGTTTTTTTGTACTGACATCACATCTTTTAATTCCATTTTCCATGAGCATCTGAAGTCCCCTCCTGCGTGTTATCTATAATCTTCAGAAACATAACTTTCTCTGAGAGAGAGTGTCACTTGGTCCTCTCCATAGGAGTGCAGAGTGTTCTGTGGCCTCCTGACGTCCACCTGAGCACCCCACCCCGGCACACCTGAGCACCAGCGGTCCCGCAGGTGCTGGCCTCTCTTCCCTCTTCATTGACTGCTCCCTGCCTCCACTTCACAGGTACATCTTGTTCTGTGGATCATCTCCTTTCTTCAACTCCTCCATCAGAGATTAGCTCGTAATAAGGCCAGATAATGGTAAGTAACCATAGTCATAGTAACACTCACAACACAACAACACAGGTGGGGACCTTTGGCTCAGCTTGAGTAACTGCTTGGTTTATTCTGTGTCCTGCATCCTGGGATGAAGCCAACATTTGTCCCTCCCCATCTGGAGTTGTCAGGCGGTACGATCATCATCAACAGGACTGAGTGAGGCAGCAAACAGAATAGCATCTCCATGCCCAGGAAGCTACTGGTGAGCGTCATGGGACCACTGGAGGCTACATCTTGCACCCGTCGAGCCAGCGCCCCAGAGTGTCGGAGAGCTGGCAGTTCTGGGACCAGGTGGGCCTGCAGGGAGGAAGGCCGGGAAGAGACAATGAGAGGGGTGCCCCCGGAAGTCAGAGCTTGGGGCTCCCGGGGCTCCCACACGTCTTGAGGCTCTTGGGCACCTCAATGCGTCTGTCTCCACCACACCCAGGCAGGAAGGCTAGTGCTTCCTCCGTCCTAGTGCCCACACTGCCCCTCCCCTCACAGAGAACCCTGCATGGTTCAGAGGAGGCGGAACCGTGAACCTCTCCCTCGAGCCCAGTAAGGCAAAGATGATGAGCTTCTGTGAAGTGAGGTTTGGAGAAGTCCCGAGACTGGATCGGTCGCACAGCGACCCAGGCAGGCCCTAGCCCTGAAATCAGAACCCTAGGCCAGGGCCCTTCCACCCGTGCTTGTACCTGCTCCACTCTTCTGCTCCCCAAAATCCTCCCAACTCATCAACCCTACAGAGGTTAGCTAGGCTGAGCTGATATCCCCACAAGTGATGCTGCTGTTCCCAGTCCCCGTGCCAGTCCCCAGTCCCCACTCCCTCCTATCCCAATCCACAGGCTGGGGCAGCCAGCAGGCCAGCTACAGGCCGTCTGAGACCCTGCTTAGCTGGTTCTCTCCATCAGCCAGGCAGGCCTCCCTGGTTCTTCCCACAGAGTAAGAAAGGGCTGTGGCCATGGTGCCCCTTATGACTACAGAGCACAGGGGAAATGCACACGTGTGTGTTTTCAGAAATCCTGAAGCTCTCCAAAGCCCTACGGCAGACACGGCAGAAAGACTGCCGGGTGCAGGCAGCGTCTTGGCTTTCTCCCTTCCTATGTGCCCTAGCCCTGCGGAGCCCCGGATCTGAGCTGTGGAGAGGACAGGGCTGCCTATTCACTTCATAAAAGGTCGTTTTCTCTGACTCTGAGACCCTGAGCAATTAAGAAGGCCTTGACCAGCCCTGCCCAGCATCTCTCCAATGAGTGCTGTACAATGAAGATGATTCCATCTCATTAGCATTTACCCTAGAGGGTCAGGCGAGCTTCCAAATTAATTGGAAAGTCGAGGCTATGTGTGAAAGGTATTTCAGGCCCTCAGAAGACAGTTAACGTTAATAAGCGGACTGGTATTTTATGCAGTGTACTAGATCTGAAAATGGATAATGAATAATGGCTTCTTAAAGTGGTACTGAGACCCAGGCCTGCTCGTCTGAGAAACTTAAAACTCAATTCCTACCTCGCCTTTTACACCAGAACAAATTGCAAGATGATCCAAATTGTAAGCACAAAAGCAGGATGTCATAAATGCAAATTTTTAATTTATTTACCAAAGAGGAAATATAAGGTTTATTTTGTGCCAGCACTGTTTTAATACAGAGGGAAACATGGCTCAGCTTCTTTACAAGCTTGGAGTATGAAAGACTTTTCTATAAAGGAGATGCCATACAAACCCAGGAGCCACGAAACTAAAGACCGAGGGATGTGACTCTGAAACGGCAAGGCTTTGATGGGATGAAGACAGCACAGGCAAAATCAGATACAAACAGCACAGTGAGTCTGGGACTGCAGATGAACAGCTGGCGAGATTAAGACGGAAGAGAAAGGGGATCTGGGCTGAGGCACAACATAGCAGGTTAGGTTTCTACCTGCAGTGCCGGCATCCCATATGGGCACAGGTTCGAGACCCGGCTGCTCCACTTCCAATCCAGCTCCCTGCTAACGCACCTGGGAAAGCAGTGTAAGATGATCCAAGTGCTTGGGGTCCTGCACCCACGTGGGAGACCCAGGAGAACTCTAGGCTCCTGGCTTCAGCCTGGCCCAGCTGAGCTGTTGCAGCCATTTGGGGAGTGAACCAGCAGATGGAAGACCTCTCTCTCTCTCTCTCTCTCTCTCTCTCTCTCACACACACACACACACACACACAGTCTATCTCTCCTCCTCATTCTGTAACTCTGCCTTTCAAATAAAAATTAAATTTTTAATTAAAGGGTGAAAGTCATTAATATAGGCTATATAAGATTACCACTTACCATGCTCCCATCCCTTCTTTTCCTTTTACAATTATCTTGACACATTCAATTGTCTTCTTTAAATTTGGATTCAGCATCTCTGTGGAGAAAATAAAGTGAAACAATTAACCATACCACCAGGGCACAGCTGAGTAACAGTGATCTGAGGATTCATGCTATAGAAGATTCCATAAGAATCTATACCTAAATTCTTCTCAGAAAACAGTAGGAGGCAAAAAAGATGTAGTCTCCGGGCCGATGCTGTGGCGCAGCGAGTTAATGCCCTGGCCTGAAGCGCGGCATCCCATATGGGCGCCAGTTCTAGTCCCAACTGCTCCTCTTCCAGTCCAGCTCTCTGCTATGGCCTGGGAAAGCAGTAGAAGATGGCCCAAGTCCTTGGGTACCTGTACCCACGTGGGAGACCTGGGGGAAGCTCCTGGCTCCTGGCTTTGGATCAGTTCAGCTCTGGCCGTTGTGGCCAATTAGGGAGTGAACCATCGGATGGAAGACTTCTCTCTCTCTGCCTCTCCTCTTTCTGTATAACTCTGACTTTCAAATAAATAAAATAAATCTTTAAAAAAAAGATGTAGTCTCTTTTTTTCTTGTAATTCTTATAATAATTTTTCCATTTAAAATATATGTGTGGCAAAGTGGGTAAAGCCGCTACCTGCAGTGCTGGCATCCCATATGGGCGCTGGTTCAAGTCCCAGCTGATCCACTTTCAACGCATCTCTCTGCTGTGGCCTGATAAAGCAGTAGAAGATGGCTCAAGTCCTTGGACCCCTGCACCCATGTGGGAGACCCTGAAGAAGCTCCTGGCTCCTGGCTTCAGATCGGCGCAGTTCCGGTCATTGCAGCCAGTTAGGGAGTAAACCAGCAGATGCAAGACCTCTCTCTCTCTGCCTCTTCTCTTTCTGTGTAACTCTTTCAAATAATAAATAAATCTTTAAAATATGTGTGTGTGTGTGTGTGTATGACTCCTGTGCAAGGCAGTGCAACAAGCAGTGGAGATCTGGTGGCAAACCTAAGACCTTGCAGCACGGGGAAGGGCCCGGCCATGCATCTGAGGGACTGAAATATCTGTACTACACATTTGTCCTCTGTTCCCTCCTTGAAAAGTGGAAACCTAAAACCTCCCGCATGGGCCTCCCACAGGACCCTCCTTCTTGCCTATGCAATGGTCTCCACTTTCCCTCATCTGGTTGGACTGCATTTCAGGAGACTGTTACATCAGTGACCCCTGGATCTGCACAACAGAATCCCGCGACCTTGGCTTGGGCCAGTCGTGTCCCTAGCATGCCTTTCCACTCCTGTGATCTTACGTCCCATTGCTTTTTTCCAGGACGCCACCATTCGAGGTATGTCCAGGGCAGGAGACAGAGATAGTGTCCACCCTGAAGGCAGGTGCTCCAGCCATGATACCCACTGCTGAGGGAGCCCAGGCAGCTCCTCCTCCCGGGCCTTGTTCTCGCTCATCTCCCAGTCTGGATCTGCCACTGACTACGAGCCTGTGGCGCCAGGTTCCCTCCTCTGAATAAAGTGCCACTGTGATCCAGTACTATCCGTTACTGATGCGGTCGGGATATAGGATATGGGCTTTTCCTCAAGGTGGTAGTACTGGGGGTGATGGAGCCATTAAAAGCTGAAGCCTTGGGTCTCTGGGGTCATGCCCTTGAAGGAGACAGGGGTCTCTCTCTGCTTCGGGCTGCCTCTGTGACCACTGTGCCCACACATGCCTCTGCCATTGCCTTCTGTCCTTAACAGAGGCCATCCAATGGGGCCACCAGATCTTGGACTTTGACCCTTCAAAACCGTGAACCAAAGAAACCCTTCCTCTTTATACAATGAGTTACCTCTGGTACTTCATTATAGTAGTGGAAAGCTGACTAACACAGCCACATACATACAAACCTACACACCCTAACCACGTTGCAAATTCTTTGAACAAAGGCAAGTTTTCCTCAGGCGCCAAGCTGTACACCAACCCTGCACTCAGCACTGTACATTCCCTGCACTGAAGCCTTGTGAAGTGGGCGCTATCATTCTCTCCATTTTGCCCATGAAAAAATGAAGGCTCAAGTCAACACAGCCAGGTACGCTAAAAGATTGATTTTATATTTTCTTATTTTCTTTTTTTTTTCTTTTTTTTTTTTAATTTTTTTTTTTTTTTTTTGACAGGCAGAGTGGACAGTGAGAGAGAGAGACAGAGAGAAAGGTCTTCCTTTGCTGTTGGTTCACCCTCCAATGGCCGCCGCGGCCGGCGCGCTGCGGCCGGCGCACCGCGCTGATCCGATGGCAGGAGCCAGGAGCCAGGTGCTTTTCCTGGTCTCCCATGGGGTGCAGGGCCCAAGCACCTGGGCCATCCTCCACTGCACTCCCTGGCCACAGCAGAGAGCTGGCTTGGAAGAGGGGCAACCGGGACAGAATCCGGCGCCCCAACCGGGACTAGAACCCGGTGTGCCGGCGCCGCTAGGCGGAGGATTAGCCTAGTGAGCCGCGGCGCCGGCCTATTTTCTTATTTTCTTTTTACATTCCAGTAGGAGGGTTTTGGGGGTAACATCTAATCCACCATATTTTCACCAAAACATGTAGTATCTGCTCTGTCACATATAGTTATTTCTCCCTTTAGGCCCTGGTTACACACAGACACACACACACGCAATTTCTCCTTATGAGACACAGATTAAGGGGCTACTCTGTTATCTTCTTTGCCTTGGCTACCAGGAGGCTCAGGGCGACACTGAATGTCCCATCACAGTAATTAAATCACATTTTAATGTGTACGTTTCCTCAACTAGACTGTAACTGTAATTTTAATGAGCCCTTCACAGCATTTTATCTACATTATCCCATTTAATATTCGCAGCAACCCCAAAAGATAGTTCAAGGTCCCCAACTTCACAGATGAGGAAGCTCCAGGAAGTCACTTGCACAGTTCCCTTAGCTCCTAGTGGGAGCAGCTGGGATTCCCACCAGGTTCCTGCAAGCTTTCGGTGCTCTTCCTCCTGCTTCGCATCCCTGCCTCTCCGTGAATCCAGGAACCATCCTAAATGTCTCTGGAGGCCCAAGGCCAGTCACAGGACTCAACACAAGTTACAAGGGTTCCCAGGCTGCACGACGAGGCTGCAGCCTCAGGTGTCAGTGCAACCTGCCCTGGCTGGGCAGCCTCTCTGTTTAGCCCCAACTCATGTGTCATGCTTCTGGGGCTGTCTCCCAGCTCTACCAACCCATCAGCCCGGAGGTCTGTTTCCCTCCCTGCCGAATGGAAACAGTAACAGGATCCGCCTAGTGGAGATCACTGTGCATACTGGATGGGCTGATGTTTGAGAAGGACTTGGAAGCAAATGATAGACTGACAACTCCATGAGGACTGGCATTCACAGGGTGCTCAATAAGTGCTCATGGAATGAGTAAGTCCTGGACAGCAGCCTCCTCTTGACCACAGATGCCTGAGACCGGCTGAGGGTGGTGGGCAAGTTCCTCCTGGGATGGCCAGCACCTGCCTCCTCCCAGTGACCACTTGAAGGAGGGAGTAGTGGCGCAGTACAGGTATAGTCAGGCCCAGCTGGAGCCCTCAGCTCCCACCCTTCAGAGCTGGGTGGGTTCCATGATGCCTGTAGCCTCCTGGAAGTGTCCTGACACCTCTACCCATGTGGACCAAGCGTTCCTCTCACCACCCCAGGTGAGCGTGCCCAGCTGTTCTCACTGCCTACCCTGGCAGTGCCCCCTGGCAGTGCCATGATCCCCTACCCGACCTTGGATATAGCTCACCCCAGTCCCTGTCAAGCCCCCCCCCCTTGTTTACTGTAGCCACCGGGAAGGGCAACCCTGAGTGTGGTGCCACAGTCACCAGTGCCCCAGCGTGGCCTGGAAGGAGGGGACCTACCAGAGCATGACATGCGGCAGAGGTTCTTGCCGTGGTCACACCAGCCATCGTTGCGGATCTGAAAGAGGCCGAAGCCTGCGTAGCCATCAGGTGCGTTTTCATAGACAGCCGTGGGGTTGAACTTGCTCTCAAAATAAGCCAGACACACCCCTAAGATGCAACAGGAGGCTCTGAGGAGAGCTGGAGTTGGTGCCGCCTGGGCAGGGGATGTCGGGGAGAGCAGTGCAGGAGATGGGGGAGCTGAGAGGGCAGGGGCCTACTCACAGTTTTCAAGGCTGTAGCCCTCAAAATAATCCAGGCCTCCTTCTCGGAGTTTCTTAGCCACTGTGCAACGGCCCAAAACGTAAGCAGCACTTGGCGCTACCAAGAAGCCAAGAAGGGAGAACACCACAGATGCTTTCATGGCCCCGAGCTCCTTAGGGCAGGAGCAGCCAGTGAGTGAGTGGAGCCAGTGACGCCTCCTCCCAAGATCACAGGGACCACGGGGCTGCGGGCAGAAAAGGGCACAGTGTGGGAGGAGGCAAGCAGCCGGGGTGCTGCAAACAGAGGGCTGGCACCTGGCTTAACCATGACCCGTCTTCCCATCCTAGATCTCCGCTTCATGCCAAGTGGCAACTGGGGGGACCTGAGACCCTGCCTCTTCTCCCCATCTCCACCTCCCACTTTCTAAGGAAACTGTACTCTTGAAGGTGCCCCCACCAGTTCTTCTCCCCTCCAGCAAAATCTGCTGGATTCTTTATTTGTATCTCGCTCCTTTCTCTTGGATGCTAGATACAGATGTTCAAGCTCTCTTCCCCTTTATTGTGAAAGGGGAACTAGAACGTGTTGGGTAAATACGTTGGAGAAAACAGGAAAAAAAGAAGGAAGAAGACACTCATTACTGTCCTACAACTGGAGCACAGCCACTGTGGTCATTTGATTTAGTCTCTTCGCTGCCCTTGATCTTGGAATATCCTCCAAGTTGGGCTCTTAGCCTTCACACAGTCTCACCCCTAGATGTTCTGCTAACTGAACCCCAATGAATTTTCCCTTGCTGTCCACACTAAAAGGCAAGCCCAGATCCAGCCCTGGGCCACAACAGATGAGTCACTTGGCCTCACAGTGCTTCTGCTTCCTCAGGGCAGGCATTTGGCACACAGCTAACATACTGTTTGGGATGCCTGCATCCCACATCTGAGTCCTTGGGTTCAAGTCCCAGCTTTGCTTACAGTCCAGCTTCCTGCTCATATACACCCTGGGAGGCAGTAGATGATGGCCCGAGTACGTGGTCCCTGCCACTCACACGGTAGGCCTGGATTGAATTCTAAGGTCCTGGCTTCATGCTGGCCCAATCCCAGCTGTTGTGGACATTTAGGGAATGGATAGTATATACACACACATATACATATATATATATAATTAAATTTATAAATAAATACTTGCGGAGTACTCAGAGGGCTACCTCTTGAATTAACCCTTCTCCATTTCTGCTGCCATCGCAAGCTGTCCAGCCTTTGGTCTCTACCCTCCAGGTCAATTCATGCAAACAGTATTGTCCACCATGACTGAGACTGCCTCTGAAGCAGGTTCAGAGCCAGGGCTTGGAAACTAGCCGGGGTACAAATCCCAGCTTCACCCACTCAGGCTGGGTCCGCAGTGACCCCAGGAAGCACCTTGGACAAGTTACTCAGCCTCTGTGTGCCTCCACTTCCTCGTCTATGACAGAGGTTAAGACAGGACTTGCCTAACCGTTTATCTGAAGAGCAAGTGAACTAAGTACGCAAAGCACTGGATGCCTCACGAACTGAGTTTCTCTAGACTCTAACTGCATCCGGGTCCTTATAACCTCATCGCTGGACTTCAACGCATGTGGGAAACGTCCGTGTTTGCATTTCCCAGCAGAGCAAGTACTACTTTCGGCAATGTCTGCCTCCCAGGCCCGTGTCACCTCACAGAAGTCCCAGTGAGTCCTCTGCTCCAGCAGCCGGCCCATCAGGGAGCCCTGTCTGCTCTTCCTGCAAACCCATCCCCTGCTCGCCTTCCCTCCTGCCACCACCCCGGCCACACCATCGGCCCCTAGCCATGCAGAGGCGTCCCAACCACATCCCCTCACTTCGCATGCCCCTTGTTCCCTTAAACCTGTTCTCCACACAGCAGCTAGAAAGGCCTTTTTGCCAGCGTGTGTCTCACTATGCCACTCACAGTGGATTCCCTTTTGCACTTTAAATAAGATCCCACCTCCTCAACTTGGTGGACAAGACTTTTGTGACCTAGCCCCTAAGCGCTGCCCCAGCCTGATTCCCTACCTCTCTCCTCCTCACCTTCACTCTGCCTCAGAACACGCTCCCTTGACCACAACAATCTCACTCCCACCACAGGGCCTTCACACAGCTGTTCTTCCTGCCTGGAACAGGATTCCACCAGTCACCCCACAGCTTGCTCGTTCTTGTCATGCTCTCAGCTCAAACGGGCTCAAAGAGGATCCCTTGATCACTGCCCCGTCACAGAACACGGTTTTTCTTTCTTTCACAGGTCAGTATCAATGATGACCTGGTTCATTTATTTGTTCTCTTACTTACTGGCTCTCTCCCATACCAGTGTGTCAGCACCAGGGATGCAGAAGCCTGGTCTGCTTTGCTGTTTTACCCCCAGATCCCAGAACACAGCCTGGCACACAGTAAGTGTCCAGTCAACCTTTGTGAATAAATAAATGAACAAAAACCTACTCTTCCCTTCAGACGAGCAATCGGTGACTTTGCCGAGTACCTCTGGAGCTGAGTATCGTCACGTGTGTGGCCGGTTCTGCCCACCCTACACCCACGCACCGAGCACCAGGCCTTCCAGAGGCCCTGGGTGTCCTCTCCGGGCAGGGGAGGAGCAGCCCAGCAGCAGCAGCCTCTCTGGGGCAGGAGGGCTGCCCTGGGTAACGTGGTTTCCTGCCCTTTTCAGTGGCACTGTCCTTAATCAACCACTTGCCTTCACCCAAGAGCTTCAAAGACCTTCTCCAAGACCTACTTCTCTAGAATCTTTTCTGTGACATCAGTTGCTAGGCAGCAGCATATTCTGGAAAGGGGGGGAGGGGGCATGCATCACCATCACATTCATATTAGTTTTCTGTTGCTGCTTTAACGTGTTACCACAAATCTGGTACAAAGAACTTTGGATGACAAAGAAGAAAGGGAGGTGGGCACTTCCCTTCACAGGAGCAGACTAAAACATCACAGTAGGGACCAGCGTTGTAGCACAGTGGGTAAAGCTGCTGCCTGCAGCGCCAGCATCCCATATGGGCACCGATTCAAGTCCCGGCTGCTCCACTTCCAATCCAGCTCTCTGCTATGGCCTGGGAGAGCAGTACAAGGTGGCCCAAACTCTTGGGCCCCTGCACCCACGTGGGAGACCTGGAAGAAGCTCCTGGATCCTGGCTTCAGATCGGTATAGCTCTGGCTGTTGTGGCCAACTGGGGAGTGAACCAGTGGATGGAAGAGCTCTCTCCCTCTCTGCCTTTCCTTCTCTCTCTGTGTAACTCCAACTTTCACATAAATAAATAAATAAATAAATCTTTTAAAAAATGCCTGAGCCTTGACTGGGTTCTGGGTTGGAAAAGAAACCGCTGCAAAGGGCATGTGTGGGACCACTGAGGACATCCGAACATGGACTAAGCACTGAAAGCTACGGCTGGAGTATAGGTGGTTTTCTTAAGCTGACAATGAGGCAGCTCTCCTTGTTCGTGGGAATCTCAAATTGAAGTGTTTAGCGGGGAAATGCCACAGCAGCAGTAGTCAACCTCCAGATGGTTTGGCCAAAAGGAAGTGTGGGTGTCTAGGGAGAGAAGCAGCAGAGACACCCATAAGGACAGTGGGTGTCCTCACCACTGATCCTGGCTGAGCAGCACACAGGTGAGAGTCACATGGTCCTTTTAACATGAAAAATTTTGTATTTTTTTCTTTTATTTACTTAAATAAAAGGAGGTGGGGGAGAAAGAGAGATCTTCCATCCATTGGTTTGTTCCCCAAATCCCCAAATGCCCAAAACAGCTGAGGCTGAGCCAGGCCAAAGCCAGGAGCCTTGAACTCAATCCAGGTCTCCCACGTGAGTGGTAGGAACCTGATTCCTTGAGCCATCACGGCTGCCTCCCAGGGTCTGCGTTAGCAGGAAGCTGAAGTCAGAAGCCAGAGTCAAGGAGGCAGAGCCAGAGATAGTACCCAGGTACTCTGACATGCGATTAGGTGCCTTAACTGGCGTCTTACCACCAAACACCAGCCTTGTGAATTGCTAAGAGACTAGAAACAAGCGGGTCTCTGAAGGCAGATGATTCTGCCTCTACCACCTTCTAAGTATGTATCCCTGAACATGTAATTTCCCTTGCTGCAACTCTTGAACCGTAAACCAGGGATACCAGTAGAACCTACCACACAGGCTTGTTGGGAAACTTGTATGAGATAAATGTATAAGCTAAATGCTTAGCACTGTGCCTGGCACATAGTAGGTGCTCTATAAACCATGGCTTCTTCGAATTAAAATGAGGAGGATGGGGCCAGTGCTGGTGGCATAGCGGGTAAATCCACCGCCTCTGGTGCCGGCATCCCATATGGGTGCCAGTTCGAGACCTGGCTGTTCCACTTCCGATCCAGCTCCCTGCTATGGCCTGGGAAAGCAGTGGAAGATGGCCCAAGCACTTGGGAACCTGCACACACATGGGAGACATGAAAGCTCCTGGCTTCAAATCGGTCAAGCACTAGCACATATACACATCTGGGGCGTACACCAGCGGATGAGGATTCTTTCTCTCTTCTTCTGTTCTCTCTGTCTGTAACTTCTCCTCTTCAAGAAATAAACTCCTAAAGAAGAAGGGGGGAAGGGGGAAGAGGGGATAGGGGAGAAGGAAGAGAAGGAGAGGAAGAGGAGGGAGAAGAAAAAGGAGGAGAAAGAGAAGAGGAGGAGGAGTGGAAAAAAGAAGAAATAAGGAGAAAGGGAGTAGGGGAGAAGGAGGGGGAAGGGAGGGGGGAGGGGGGAGGAGGAAGAGGAGGAGAAGAAGAAGAAGAGCAGCCAGGACTCCAGATGGCATCCACATGGGATTCTGGCACTGCAGGCAGTAACTTAACCCATTATGTCACCATGAGGGCCCCAAGACCCCTTGATTTCAAAGGAGGCATATGGTATATGGATGTGGATCTGACCCAGTTCTGGCCAGAAGGACCGAAGGGGAGTGTGTGCTGGGAAGAGAGGGCTCTGGCAGTAAGTCCCTCCTTTGTCAGAGAGAAACAACGAGGGTCAGAGGGGTGTTCCCTGTCCTTGGCTACCCTGCTTCACCCTTGAACTCAGCTGCACAGGTGCAATGTCTACAGTAGCTGCTGCCATTTTCAGTACAAGGGTGCCTGGCAGATGGCACTGATGTTGAGCCAGAGCCTGGCATCTCTGACCCCTGGGTCAGTGTCAGCAGCCATCCACCTCCCAACCTCACGTGCGGGAAAGAGAAAGTCCTGTTGCGTGAGCCCCCTTGGCTCACATACTGTTCCCTGCCTATGAAAGCATCCCCAGCTGATTTGAGGGACTGTGTAAATCTGCCACACATTTCTCATCATATCTGAGCATTTTTAGCTGTGGTGTTGCTTGCCTAGTTTAAAAATACTCTACTGGCATCAGAAAGCAAACAGCCCTGCTTTAGTGTACTCATTAAGTGTTTGTCACAGGCCAAGGGATGGATGGCAGCCTGGGGAAAGGCCAGTTGAGGAGGGAGGGAGGTGGAGGTGTCGTCTTTTTTGAACACGCTACTTGTTACCCAGGTCGCATGAAGCCTCCCTCAGCTACCCATGATGCACCACATTAGACAGAGAATGGCTTCAGGCTGTGCCTGGAGAAACACAATGACACAGAGAGGAGGTGGGGGACGGTCAGGACCAGTGAGCTCAGTAAGGGGGAAGGGTCCCAGGGGGCCTGTGGGCCCACATCACAAAGAAGGCGAGAAAAACCAGCAGGAAACACTTTGCCCTAAAGACCCTTCCAACAGCCAGGAAAGCTGAAAGGCACAGAGACGACAGGTCTAAGAAAAGAAAGAACATCTCCTCTGTCGCTGCAGTAGAGTGGCCAACTGTCCTCATTCATCTGGACCTGGGGAGTTTCTCGGGTGCGGGACTATGTGTGCATGTTTGCATGCTTGTATCTATCTATCTATCTATCTATCTATCTATCTATTTACCTATTTATTTATTTGCAAGACTGAGAGACAGACACAGAGACTCTGCTTGGGACACCTGCATCCCATATTGGAGTGGCCGGGTTCAAGGCCAGGCTCCACTCCCAGTTCTAGCTTCCTGCTGGTGCACACCCTGGGAGGCAGCAGGTGTTGGCACAAGTCGTTGAATCCCTGCCACCCACCCATGCAGGAGACTCAGGCTGAGTTCCCTGCTTCCTGGCTTTGGTCCCAGCCAGGGCCACTGCTGTGAACACTGGGGAGTGAATGAATGGATAGGAGATCCCACTTTCTCTCTCTCTCTCTCTCTCTCTGCCTTTCAAATAAACAGAATTTTCTTTTAAAAATCACTTTTACACAAACTACTTGTTCTTTTCTGTCCTGATGGAATTTGGTTTCCATTTGAAAAGCTGATGCGCTCAAAGGAAAGTCACAATCCAGACACTTGTGTCCAGGGCCATAAAAGAGAACCTGTGGGCCGGCGCCGCGGCTCACTAGGCTAATCCTCCATCTTGTGGCGCCGGCACACCGGGTTCTAGTCCCGGTTGGGGCTCTGGATTCTGTCCCGGTTACCCCTCTTCCAGGCCAGCTCTCTGCTGTGGCCAGGGAGTGCAGTGGAGGATGGCCCAAGTACTTGGGCCCTGCACCCCATGGGAGACCAGGAGAAGCACCTGGCTCCTGCCATCGGATCAGCACGGTGCGCCAGCCGCGGCGGCCATTGGAGGGTGAACCAACGGCAAAGGAAGACCTTTCTCTCTGTCTCTCTCTCTCACTGTCCACTCTGCCTGTCAAAAAAAAAAAAAAAAGAAGAAGAAAAGAAAAGAAAAGAAAAAAGAAAAGAAAAGAAAAGAAAAGAAAAGAAAAGAGAACCTATGGGAAGTGTCACAGCAGTGCCACATGGCATGAAAATGGTGGTGACCTTTCCTGTGGCCCAGGCTCCGGGGAGTGGTTTATGCAGGTCATTCCATTTCAGCCTCCCAACAGCCCTGAGAGATGGGCCCTCTCACTACCCCCATTTCACAGGGGAGATCTAACGCTTGTGCTGACCAAGGCCCCACAGCCAGCAAGTGGGAGGGTCCTACGTCTGTCTGACTCTTGAGTCTTAAACCCACGCTCTGCTGGTGGATGCTTCAGGGACTGAAGGTCATGGTGGGTCCTGACACTGATAGCTGTGAGATCTAGGACAAGAACCTTCACTGCCCAAACCTCAGCATATCTGTGTGCAGAATGGGGCCGGAAAGAGTGCTGACCTAATAGGGCTGCATGGAGATCTCTGCTCCATGCATGCCAAGGACAAGGGAGACGGTATCCAGGCAGGCAGCTCAGAGGTACGGTAGCAGGCCAGGCTGGAAGGTGAGAAGTGACAGACTAGCAGCTCTGGTTTCCACCCTGGCTGCTCACCTGGGCAGTCACACTGCCAATCAGGTCAGTTGGATCACCCAAGAGTGGGACACAGCCATTGGCATGTCTATGACTTCTCAGGTGGCTCCGGTGTACAGCTG